ATGTTGATTAAGTCTTTCATTGATATTATGATAATCTTATTTGTATTATTTGTTATTCTATTGAGAGGGTGTTTAGTTATACATACTAGTGCTATTCAACGGTACTAACGTCCCTTTTGCCGGGGGCGTTGCATCTTTAAATGGATGTAGGTGGTTCCACAGCAGGAGATATTGATTAGTGATAGCAATGCACCTTCTTCCCAACTGACTTGGTGAGCTCCATTTCATTCCGGGGTCATAAATCTTTTGTACTTTGTGTATTCTGTTGAGGTATAGCCGGGACCTTGTTGCCGGCATTATCATTGCACTCTTCTTTATCTATAGAGGCTCCATAGACATAGTGTGGGTTATGTATTGGTGCTGGAGAAAGACAAACTATGTTATGTTGTGGATGTATTACTTGTCCATTTGAGACTTTAAAATGATGAAACTATTGGAAATGAATTGGTATGGTAGACATGAACACATTTTCGTCTAATTAATGATAATATGTATTTTCTCTATTCATGGATGAGTTTGGGTAGAATGAAATCTAACAGGCTTGCTCGGTCAGGTTCACTCGGTTGAGCGCCGGTCGCGCTCCTCGGTTTTGGGGCGTGACAGGGGAGCCTCCAATTTCTATCGCCCCAAGTAGATCACTTGGGGCATTCTCTCCATCTCGAGGGGCCTCGAGACCAGCCCCTACAGCCGTACTTACCGTTGACTCATTATGGTGGGAGGCATCTTCAATCCTCGATGACTCTCGGACTTCGCCCAAGTCTCATCCCGAGACCCCCTCATCTTGAGATGGAGTCTCTGCAGCCTTCACCGATTCAGTGGCCTTTCGGGCCTCGGTGCTTATTCCCACTCGGGCCACCAGCTCAGAGTCATCTTCTTCCTCTTCTTCATCTTTCTCCCTTAGACGCCGAACAGAGTCTTCGATCAGAAGGATGATGTTCTTCTTTGGCTTACGAGCCGCCTTCTTCTTAGGTTCTGGATCCTTGGAGGATGAGGTCTTTTTCCTCTTTTTATCCTTCGCCAGTTTCGGTGTCGGGATCGAAGTCTCCTCCTCACTAGATAGGGGCCTCATGACAGCATCTTTACCAAGGCCTGTAGAAAGGAAATTAAGTAAGAAATGCTTTAACTAAATCATCAAAGACGTGGAAAAGGGGCTTACCATGATTTTTGATCTCTCATCGGCCCTTTGATAAATCGCGCCATGAGCGCTCGGCGTACGTAGAGGTCGAGGCCAGGTCCCGAACCCAGCCCTCGAGGTTAGGAATTGCACCGGGCATCCAAGCGACTGCTACATCACGGAAAAGGATATCGATGAGAAGAAGCAAAAGACCAAAACAATAAATAGGAGTTAACAGTGGGATTGTACTTACGCTTCATATTCCATTTCTAGGGAAATGGCATCTTCTCGGCCGGGATTAGGTCGGAAGTCCTCACGCGAATGAACCGGCCCATCTAGCCTCGGTCCTTGTCATCATCTATGCTCAAGAACAACACCTTTGTAGTCCGACGCTGAAGTTTTATTAACCTGCTTCGATAGAGGCGAGGGCTGTACAACCTGATGAGGTGGTCGAGGGTGAAAGGCATCTTGCTCACGAAAAATCAGAGCAGAATAACAATCTGCTAAAATGAGGGATGGATTTGACCTAGGGTTATTTGATACTTGCAGCAGAAATCGACGATAATGGGATCGAGGGGGCCCAGCGTGAAAGGGTAAGTGTAAACACTCAGAAACCCATCCACGTGGGTAGTGATGTCTTCCTCGGGGGCCGGAATCACCACCTATTTGCCTTCTCAGTTGTAGTCTTTCTTCACCTGCTTAAGGAAGCTCCCAGTTATCGAGCATATATACCTCGACATTGGCTCACATCGACCAGGGACCGACGAAGTTTTGTCAATCTTAAAGTCGGAAGTGAGGACGCACCCCCCGGGAACACACTCCTCAGGGCGCGGCTCCACCGGTATTTTGTCGCCGGCCGGCCGCGATGAAGAAGCATTTTTCTTTTGAGGAACAGTTATTGACGATTTCGCCATTTGGATTTGAAGTTAAAAATAGATGGAGATGATAAGATTTGGTGTTCTAAGAAGAGGTTAGCAGTAAAAATCGTAGATTTGCAAATAAATAACTTAGAAGATGTAAAAAGCTTTGGAGATTAGAAAAAAGTTGAAGGTAAAGTTTGAAAGAGTGTAAAAAGAGGCCTATTTATGGGATTCACATCGACGGTTCAAGGGCACTAGTGGCCGACCACCAACTGATACACATTAATAACTTGGGGAACTGTACCAACGGTATATTTCGGTCACTTCCGTCGCTTACGTCACGACGGTGATGTCATGGCAGGTCGAGGTAAAAATCGAAGGCTCAATTCGTTTCTTGTCATTACATTCTTAAAAAAAGAGAGGACTATCTGTATACGGTTAAAACCGAGCCCACCCAATTTTTCTATCTGACCGGGACCAGGGAGCTGCATCGAAGGTCGGCCCCGTAGTGGATCAGACTAAGGTACAAGGACAAGGTACCAAGTTCGGGATTCGGGGTACCTGTCGAGATCGAGGCCAGCAGCGATCGAGACCGAATGAGACAGGCATCGAGCAAGATCGAAGATAACATAATAACGGAAAGGCAAAATATCCGTGATTGGTCGAAGATCATGGTGAAAATCTCGGAATGGATCAAATCAGGAACGGTTAATTAGCTAATCATGGGATTTTCTTCTGTAATTAGAGTTATACCATAAGTAGAATTCCTCTACTATATAAAGGGGAGTATTAACCATTTGTAAGGGCTATATTATTCTCGCATAAAAAAGCCAATATAACGCTCTCTCTTTAGCTTATACTCTCTTGTTCATCAGCTTGCTTTATTTTTAACTGTTTTGGTATCAATTAGTTCAAGGGCACTCTAGCGCTAGGGTTGAATTCCGTTTCAACTCTGGTTCGCTTTACTTTATAGTTCATTTCTGTTATTAATCTTCATATTTATCAATTGGTATTAAGCGAAATCACGTGTCCTTAGAACCATATTATAAGTTTAATTGTTATCCAATTTTAAGGGTAAACAATAATGGTCATATAACTATAATCTTTTTTCACCAAAGTCATATAATTATATTTTTTCACACAAAAATTATAAAGCTTTCACTAACTCACACAAAAATCATAGTGATCGAAAAATACAAATTTCTGATAATAGTTTCTTATTCCACATTTTTTTTAATTTTCAGTCTAATAAAATAATAACCCAATTAAAATAGAAATGACCCAACCTAACCCGATCCAATACACATATATAAAAATTAAAATAATATTAAAAGTGAATCCCCCAAAATACGATACTTCTATCTTCTTCTTCTTCTTCTTCTTCTTTTTTTTTTCACATTTTCATTCAATACCCTTTTATTTCTTTCTCTTTTTATTTTGTTAGAATCTCATGCATTTCAAACTAAAATTTTTGGTGAAGGATTCACTTTCTTATTATTTTACTTTATGTGTATGCGTATTGACTTGAGTCGGGTTGGATAATTCCTATTTTAAAGATAAAAAATTGATCGGTCTGTCGAAACTAATTTCATTCGCTAACCATATATATANCTAAAAATATATATATTTTCTATTTTAATTGGGTTATTATTTATTAGGCTGAAAATAAATAATAATAAAATGTAGAATAAGAAAAAACTATTGAAAAGTTGTATTTCTCTGTCAATGTGATTTTTATGTGAGTAGCAAAAGTTTTATGATTTTTATGTGAGAAAACATAGTTATATGACTTTGATGTAAAAAAATCATAGTTATACGATCATTTTTGAAATTTATCTTAAAAATCCAAGACCAAACTTTCAAACTTACGGCACAAGCAGACAATGCAACAACATTAGTACAATGACTGATTAAGTTGCCTTAAAAACTCACTAATTTTAATGACAACAAGCAGTCATGTCAACCATGAGTTGCTTGTTTAATAACTCTTACATATAATATATAATAGAAATACGCCGTTTTAAATTTCTTAAATTAAACATTTGAACGAGCGTTTCACAATTATTGAACACAGCATAATCAAGCCATTCAAGAGGACATAGACTATCAGAAAAAATAATTATGTTTACGAGACGCAAATGGAAACAAAGACAATATAAACGAGATCAAAATATTCCTTTTCTTCTCTTTTTTCTCAGGTCAAACATTGCTTATTTGTAACACACTTCAAAATTATGACAAGAAAGTCAGTCCCGAACCGCAATGATATGTCGTAATAATATTTTATTCCCTTTCGGTTACCACTAACCTATATTGCACTAAAGGAAAGAGTAATATTCGTAGCCGAAGAGATCTTTTACATAATTTTGCTATCACTAACTAAATCGACACTAATAATGGGTAATGGAGACTAATACTAAATAGTGTCGATTTTACTAAGTCAATATTCCAAATAGCTTTTACATAATCAGAACACAAGAAAAGGAAGTTGATGTATGAGTACTCTAATTAATTATTACTTGTCAAAGTGCTGGTTAGGTCAAAGTAATACACAATCGGGACCAAATTATTATCCGCATGGGGGAAAAAGATTTTCTTGATTATCGCTTCACATTTTTCTTCATAGCCCCAAAAGTATATAATAAAGGAGGGTTACTGGTAATGAAACCAGCATCCCAAATATAACCCTGCAAAAGAAGAGAATAAGCTCATTTCAAAAGGGTTAGAAATGCAAAAAGAAGGAAACAACTAGTAGATATCCCTTTATTTCCAAAGAAATTACTATTATTCTCTCTATTTCAAAAAGAATGAATTTTTTAGTATTTGGGGAATCAAACAAGGTTTTTTCTTTTATCATGTATTGTAAATAATTATTAAATATTTTGAATTGTTAAGTGATTTATAATACGTTTTTTGTAGTTTCTAAATGTGTATATTTTTATTTAAGAACTTAAAAAATCTATGTTCGAATTCACATCGAAAATTAGTCAATTTGACACTCGTACTTCAAAAAGGTTCAAGCAAATTAAAATGGAGGGAGTATCACTTTTATATTCTCTTTGGTTAATCATATATAGTAGTATTAACTAAAATTTGACCAAAAGTTTTCTTTCTTATATTTGATATGGAAAAGATGTCAACTTGTAGCTAGTAATTTGCATAGATCTCCAATTTACCAAATTTAGTTCCCAAAGGATGAATTTAAATTTACAGTGAAGATAATTTTAAATCTACCACAAAAAACGAGACACGACAATTAATTGATAGGAGAAAATGAGCGAAAAATATTGATATGTCAAAAGTGTTTCATTCAGTAGTATGAAATTTAAGAACTTATTGTAAATAATTTTTTTGTTTCTTTTATTTTTGTAAATATCAATTGAGATCAACTTACCCAGTACTTAGTATGTCGGGATGCAATCCATATTCTCTTGCGAAGACAAATGGAACAATTCCTTGGGGAAGAGCTGCCTGAATTTGACAGAAAATTGAGTTGTATTAGCGTTTTATAATGCAATGGTTATCTTAATTATTTATTTATACCTAGATATTAACGAAGTAGTTAAACTACTCTGGACCTGCTTATGCAAATAAGGGCGAGATAATAGAACACACACATATATATGTATTTTTTTAAGGAGCAAAGGTATACATAATAAATTATATTTTTTCTCCCAGGGAAAACTGTTGCAATTGAAGGGGCTGCGCTACAAATATAAAAAGTGAAAATTCCCTACAATTTAAGCGACAATAAATAAATGTTTTGAGTTCATGCTCTGAAATGTTATACTAACAAACTTCAAAAATTATTAACAAGTGGAAGTCATCAACATTCCTCCCTATAATAATAAAAACAACCATGTAGCGTGAGCCACTAAATATTAAATGTACATGTCCAAACTCTTATATCATACTAATTGTTTAAATTTTGATAACGCAATATGGTTCAACTAACTTAGAGAACGGAATTACACTTACCCGCACTAAGCTTTTATCCCAATATCAAATAATATAATTTTTAATGTTAGCAGTTAAAAATTAAAGAGAGTATAAATATCATTTAACCATGGTTAAGTGATAAATATATATATGAAAGATACCCGATGCAAATAAGTTTTTATCCTAGCTTAACTATATCATCGTGTATTAAAGGGCAGTCACTATGTCATGTTGCTCTAGTGGTGAGCACCATCCACTTCCAACCAAAAGGTTGTGAGTTCGAGTCACCCCAAGAGCAAGGTGGGGAGTTCTTGGAGGGAGGGAGCCGAGAGTTTATCGGAAACAGCCACTCTATCCCAGGATAGGGGTAAGGTCGGGATTATACAGGGTTGTTGTTGTTGTTGTCACTATGTCATATTATTGAATCAAGATAAATTGATTTAGAAAGTAAAATTTCATGTTGGAGTACTCTTTTGATCACACTTTATATTGTTTGTTACCTGTACAATTGCAGTGTGAAGTCGAACTCCTTTAAGCCCAACAACAATAGAAGCAGCTGACATTACTAGAGGTCCACCTATAAATCTGATGGCCATTCCTATGGCTGCCATCTTCGTGCCACACGCAATTATTCGTGGTTGAAGTGCCATGAACAACCCTACAATAGTACAATGTACCATAGCCATATTAAAATTAATATTTATTACTACATTTTATCTAATAGTTGTTCAAAAATGTAATTAAGTTCCAAGTATTAATCACAAAAAGAGTTGGGATATTGCGTAAATTTTTGTAATGTCACATACCTAAACTGAACATGGCCATCCCAAGACCTGCATCTGAAATTATTTTAATGGAATATTTCACCAAACTGGGCATCCCCACATTCCATCTGCTCAAAAAGTTAGGAAACTTTGTTATGATTCACTAGACAATAAAATAAAGCAGCGATCTCCTATGTAACAGTACTGGAAAATGACATGTCAAGGAAAGTTACACAACTTTTTCTTTTATGAAGATACTAAAGTTTAGTCCCTTTTATTTTTGGTTGCTATTTGACTTCTGAACAGGTAGAAGTAGAACCATCATTTAAACTTTGACATCATAGAAATTGAAAATGACCCTTTAGGGAATATAATGCCGACAAGCAATTTAACTTTAGAATAATTCATGAATAAGATTATCGTGTATTTGGTACCAAGGAAAATGTTAATCGTAAAAAATGAGTAGTTTTATCATTTATTTTTTCATGTTTGGTTGGTGAGTGAAAACAAAATCCGAAAAATATTTTTTAGTATTTAGTTAGTGAGTAGAACATACTTTTTCCTGGAAAATATATGTTTTAGGTAAATAATATATGGGATAGGGGTGGGGGGTTTTGGTGGTGGAGGTGGGGNTATTTTTCCTCTTCTTGGTAGGAAAAACAGTTTCCTCCAATTGGAGGAAAATAAGTCTATGAGAAAAATATTTTTTAAAACATTTAACCCAACCGACATGCAAAAATTAAAAAATATTTTTCATACCAAACATACCCTATATTAAGCAAAAGTATTAAAATACACATAGAAAGTAATAAGTAGAATTTAGAGTAGTATTTAACGAACTCACTTGAAAGAGATAAGAGACCAGAGAAGTCCTAATATACTGGAGTAAGTATTTGGATTACGCGAAAGCTTTCTCCCAACCATAACTATAATTAGCCTTAGCATCACAAAAGCATTTGGCATTTCTTGTTTAATAATATTGGTACTTGCTAAATCTGCAGCTCCTCCTTGTATTGGAAAATTTGAGATATCTCTGAAGCTAATTTCCTTTTCTGGATTAATTAAGAAAATCATATGTAGATGTTAGTGATAGAAGATATTTTAATCAAATTCATTGAAAAGACGAAACGAGGTAAAAAAGAAAAAGGTGGGCAACAATGGAGTGGAGAGAGATCATCAAAAGTGTTTTATTAGTAGCAGATTGCAAGTGCGCTATCAAATAAGTCTCTCCATCAAAATACACGTGCTTTAAAGTAATGATATTGTCTATATATTGAAGTCTGATCCAATCATTATTTGCCCATTTAAGAGGAAATTATTTTGAGCAATTGTTGTCTCAATTTTTCTTTGACCTTTTTCTATTTTCTTTTTACTTATTGCAATATTTATGAAATTAAAACTAGATTGTATAGATTGCACTTTTTCAGGACAGACAAGTCCCTTTTAGGGAAAAACAAAAAGGACAAGTGACATGTGAAAAATCTGCCTCTACACTTGTATGGTACAAGTAAGAAACTCTATCGTTTACAATTGGTAGAAGGGGCATAGATTCTTTTATCATTAGTATGAACTCGTTTTTTCAAAAAACAAATTACTACTATTACAGCTGAAAATATTACTAGTAATTTAATTGAAGATTTTGACGGACCAACCAATTAAATTATAGAAACATACTAGGAATATTAATTGTTTCTGACATATAAATTCTACTAAAAATGTACTAAACAATATAAACAATTTGGTATAATTGGATATAATTAAAAGAGAAAACAGAGTAATAATTCTATAAGTATCAATTAATTTTGATTCATTTTAATTTAAGTATCAGACAATTTGTTCTATTGACAGGTCAGGTGGACAGAGAAAGAAAATATGACAATCAGAACGAGACAATATACATCTGAGGATATGGGGACAAAGACTTTATTCTAGGCATGCAAATGAGAAAACAACCCATCTATACTATATCTTGGCCAGTCAAAGAAACCCCTTCAATCTTGATTTGATAATACCTAAACGACATTCTTGGGATCACCATGCTTTATTTTTGTTTTGTACTACCTCTTTATCAATATTCGCCCGTCCTAAACTTAATTACTACTCCATAAAAGAATTTAAGTACGGAGTTCAAGAATAAAATTTCCAATACAAAATTGAGCATCGGTTTCATAATTTTTTATGCAATAAAAATTATATGAAAAATACTCAAGGTCAATATCTTCCTAATTGAAACTATTTTTAATTTTTTTAAATAATAAAAAGAAACTTTCACAAAATCCAAATATTATAGTTTTACCATTATCAATTCTCCTAGATCTTTTTTTTTTAATTTTATCTTTTTGAAGTAATCACGTGGTTATATACTTTTTTTCAAGAAATAGTACTAGTAATTTGTTTTTCCTAATTATCACAGTCACTTTTTAGATCAAAGTTATTACCCCTATATACTTTTAATTATTATACAAGGTTTAAAGTTTTAAAAACTACGCAGAATATACTTTCATATCATGAATTAACATATTCTGGAAAAGGAATGAAGACTCTTTTTTTTTTTTTGGATTACAGGAATATTATTGGTAATAAAGAGAGAGTATTAAAGTTAACAATCTGCACGACAAAACAACAAAGTCAGATACCAAAACAAATAATTATGTTGACAACTCAGTAGCGTACCTCCAACATCTCTGTATCCTTGTCTGTCTCCATTTAGACACTTCCCTGGCGATTCCCACGCCATTTTAGCAGATGGAGATGGCTGCCGGAACACCTTCCCCGCCACCGGAGACATTACCCACATTGGCGTATTTCCGGTTGTTGTCACTGTGGTCGTATCCAATTCATTGAAATTCGACGCCCTGGGCGTCGGCTGCAGCGAGTATGCGTCGGATGATGCGTAGCTCGACAGTCGAGGACTCACTGCACGAATCCTGTTGAAACATAATATAGTTAAGTAATTAAAACTGTTCTATCACTAATAGTAAAGTATTAAAATTGGCAAAATTCCTAGGTTCAAATTTCACTGCTCCAAAATCATAAAGTATTTCCATGTATTTGATCTATGGAAAAGAATTAGGCACAAGTGAAGGAGTGTGTAGAGATATACCATATTAAATACACTTTTTGTCCCAATTTATGTCATGCATTTTATTTTTTTAATATGTCCTAAAAATAATGATGCCGCACAAATAGTTATAACTTCTTTTGGACTACAAATTTTAAAAAAATTTACTTCTTAAAATTTATGCCTAGTCAAACTTAACTTAAAATATGACAAAAAGAGTAATTAAAAGTATACTCTCTTTTAAGTAGTATAACGTAAGCTTTCAAATGATCACGCTTTCAAATGATCACACAATTCTAACAGTATACCCGACTCTTAAGTCGCCATGTCCAAATGGGATATCTCCATTCCGGAATTCATGTAAAGGTGTTGGCGTGTGAACAGAGAAGATTTCAGCATTGGAGAGATTGGATGCCCTTGGCGTGATTCCTACGGAGGATGAAAACCCAGACTCCGGCGCTGATGATGTTGATCGCCGGATACGGACGCGAATGCGGCCTTTACCGTCGACTTCCGACTCCGTACAAAGTGGGTTTCGGCCGTCTAGTGAGATAACATCATTGTCAATCTCGAACTTGGTTATGGCCGCAGCAGCATTGCCAGGATATTGATTTTTAATTAATATAATGGCCGCTCTATATTCAAACAGGAATAATAGTAAAGTATACCTGCATGATACCACCAAAAAAGTTTAAGAAATGGAACATGAATTTTCTACTCCTTTTACATCTAAATAAATGAAGAAATAAAAGGATCCGAAAGCAAATATTACATGCATGCCCAAATGTGCTATAAAATTATTACATTATATAGACATGAGGAATAAAGCTTATTTCAAGTACTAATAAAAGCATTCACTACAAATTCTTATGCTCACTTATTCAAGTATATGATGTTTTCCTTGAGCCCGTTTGCGTTGAATACGCCTTTTCCGACTAGACATGAAATTTTACCCCCAAAATATAAAAATTTAGGAAAATAAAGAGGTAGAGAACATAAGTGGTGCTGGATTAGTATTACCAGATAATGCATTGAAGGACAACAAGCTGAACCATGAGATTTTGAGTGAAATCTCCATACATGGCATTGAGCAAAGGAATGCCCATGACCAAAGTGTTGGGCAAAGTTGAGACAGAGAAGAGAGTGATGAGCCAATCCAACTGCCCTTTACAAATGGCCCAAAATGACAGCAACACAAGAACAAAAATCTTTGACAAAGTGTCAGCCAATATGAATTTCGTGTCCATTTGGTAAGGATTGTTCTGAGAAATGAAGTGGAAGGACAGCACCGGCACGGCGAATACGGCGACGAAACGGTTGATGCCGGAGCATTGCTCCGGCGAGAATATCTTCCACCATTTCACTGATCCATATGCCACCAGCATAGCAAAGTATAAAGGCACCATTGAACACATTACTTTGTAAAAATCATTTGCACCTATCATCTTCTCTCTCTCTCTATTAAGGAGAAGGTGAAAGTGAAGAATGGTGAGGATATTTATTGAGTTTATATAGAATATTGAAGACTAAATTCCCTATTTTGAAACTTTGGATGTACGTTAAACGAGATTGTTACTGATAAGCAGTGGACTTAATTAATGGTTGGTAGATTGAATGATTAGTTCTTTAACATATATAGGGAGAAATTTGACAAGGTGCAAATGTCTAATTTTGGACATTATCTTTTTTCTTAGATCTTTATTTTTTTTAGTTTCGAAGTTGAACGTCTAGTTGATGAGTCAAAGATAGTGCATTATAGCAGTGTGTAGAAATTGAAAAATATGTTATTCATTTGATTCTTGTGCTTATATATACTACTATACTAGGTGTTTAATTGTTTACATAATATACATGTGTTTGTGTGTACGTGGGAATTGAGGAAGTATGTCATTTATTACCCAAGTCAATAATTAAAAGCTTGTCTACTATGAGGATATTGTAGCTTTCCGTAATCATGCGCTTTAGATTCCTCTAATCCTTTCATTGTTTTCTGGTCGTGCACTTTGCTGAAATTAATTAGCAGCGAAATAACTCATCATGAAACTTAAATCATGTAACCTCCACTGTGCTTCATTCATGAATAGTAGCTTTTCTAATTAAAAGACATTCTGGCCGACAAGCTGAAGTTATATCAAAACTATACGTTGAGACAAGATCACAGTAGTAATTAATTAAAATAGTATTTTTATCCAATAGTATAAGCCTTGACACGCACTTCAATACGGTAAAATAAGAAATACTGAGTTCTCTATGCGGGTAAAATCGAACTCGAGATTGACCGAGCATCAAGCATGACAATTTGGGATCGAGAGATGGTGATAGAATCCCGGAGATCGGTTCCTGCCTTACCAAATTAGCCATCGGAACCACCAAACATGCCTTCGAGTTTATCGAGGTCATAACCAGTCCCGGTCATAACGGTCTCAAGGAATATATTGCCAGCTTATCTGACAGGGGTCCGAAATTTCCGCAACTAACCGGGCATTACGACAGAAATCACGGAACATGCCAAAAGAGGGACCAACGGTCAACAAATCAAGGACTTTTTTACCTTTTATGGAATAATAAAATAATACTTTAAAAGTGGGTTCCTCTAATATATAAAAGGGGCCTCACAATTCATGAAACACATGGTAACATACACTCATAAGCAATACATTACCGTTATCCCCTAAATTCTTATTCTTTGGTATCTTGGTGTCAACCGAAGTACATTCAATTCAAGGGTGGTCAACTTTCCCATGCTGAAATTATCCAATTCGTGTGGTTTGTAGTTAATTTATCGTTATCTATTTCAATTGCAATCTAATTTATCATTCAGTATCAAGTTAATTCGCATATTCTTTAAACCACTAGCAAATTCAATTATTATCCGATTTTGAGGGTAAACAGTTTGGCGCGCATCGTGGGGCTAAGGATAATAGCGGCAATTTGATACTATTCATCATAACACACCCCATTTTACACTTGTTCTTTGAGGTGTTTCTGATTTCAGGTCAGGATCGAAATATCAAACCCACAGTCTGTCCCTCTAAACATAGACACAGAATCCGGCCACCACGGCATGAACAACAATGCAGCGCTCGGTAACGAGGCAACACCGGTCGATCTTGGTAGAATCCTGATGGTGGTTCCCATCGACGATTGTTCGCATATGGCCATCGACAAAGACCAGCCTACCGACCTCGAAAATAGCATGCACAGGGAAGTGCATTTGATTGCCCAAAACACTCACGACGGCAAAAATGATGGGATCAACCTGCGTATGATCTTCGAAATACTACAGGCTCAACAAACGGCGATAGCTCAATTGCAGAACCAAGGTCGAACACTGAGCAAAAATGAACCCGAGCTCCCCCGGGAAGCCATCCGTAGAAATGAACCAATCTCGGAAAAAACGAGCAAAAGTGAATTAGGGACTAACCCCGAAATCCTGAAATTGCTCGAAGAATTGACGAAATGGATAGAAATAGGGGAAAAGAAAATCGAAACCAATGATAAAAAGGTGGAAACCTAAAATTCCAGGGTCGACCAAATCCCAGGAGCACCCCCGATATTGAAGGGCCTAGATTTCAAGAAATTTATTCAAAGGCCTTTTCCCCCGAGCGCGGCTCTGAAGCCGATTCCCAAAAAGTTTCGCATGCCCAAAATCCCTAAGGACAACGGAACGACCGACCCAAATGAGTATGTAACCTCTTATACATGCGCCATCAAAGGGAACGACTTGGAAGATGATGAGATCGAGTCTGTCTTGTTGAAAAAATTCGGAGAGACTCTGTCAAAGGGAGCTATGATATGGTACCACAACCTTTCTCCTAATTCTGTTGACTCATTTGCTATGCTTGCAGATTCCTTCGTAAAAGCACATGCCAGTGCTATAAAGGTCGAGACCAGGAAATCAGACCTTTTTAAAGTAAAACAGAGGGATAATGAGATACTCAGAGAGTTCGTTTCTCGATTTCAGATGGAACAGATGGATTTGCCCCCGGTTGCGGACGATTGGGCCGTTCAGGCTTTCACCCAAGGACTCAATATTCAAAGCTCATTGGCTTCACAGCAGTTAAAACAAAACTTGGTAGAATATCCATCCATGACTTAGACCGACGTCCACAACCGGTATTAATCAAAAATCAGGGTCGAGGATGACCAACTCGGGATCCCTTCCGGATACGTACACCCCGTCAGGATCACCGACCGAGTCAATAGACACACCGATCATGAACCTAGATCAAACCGGGATCGGTATCAACCGTACAATAGGGACCGGAGAAGCAGTGGGTCTGGGCAAAATCCTATGAGAAATGAAAGAAGGAATGACCGAGGACAAAACAACCGAGAACTCATGAGTGATAAGTGGAAATTTTGACTGCCTATTAGTGCCTTTTAGCTTTCGTTTTAGTCCAAAAGTGTCTAATTGTATTCTCGAAAACTGATAAAGTATGCTTACTTGCAGGAGTATTGAAAAATGAGCCACTACGATGAAATCCATCTCAAGAAGGAGTGATCTGAACAAGGACAAAAATCAGGCACAGACGCTCAAGTGCGAACCGCAGATTTCTATCTGCGGCCACAGAATGTGAAGGAAAATCAACAGAGCCCCAGTGCAATATGCGGACCGCACAATTATTGTGTGGCCGCAGAAGCTATGTAAGAGCCAAAGTTCAGAGAGTTTCATTTCAAGCTCAAGAAGAAATGCGGACCGCACAATTATTGTGTGGCCGCAGAAGCTATGTAAGAGCCAAAGTTCAGAGAGTTTCATTTCAAGCTCAAGAAGAAATGCGGACCGCACAATAATTATGCGGCCGCAGAAACAGCTATGCGACTGCACTCAGGAAATGTGCGGTCCGCAGAAGAGCCCAGCGCAGCCGCACCCTGAACTGTGCAGACCGCATAACATGAGAAATGCGGCCGCAATTCAAAATTGTGCAGCCGCAGAATCAACTCTTGTCAAGATCTTAAGAGAAGTGCGGACCACACATATAGTTGTGCAGCCGCAAAACCTCCGAAAGGGAATTTTGTTCGAAAATTTTTGCTTTGTATAAATAGTCTACTCTCACGAAATTAGGTAAAGTTTTGAATATTTAAAGTCTGTAGCCATTTTTACTGGACTCTTTAGGCAACTTTAGCTTACTTTGGTGATTTAACATTGGATTTTTATCTTTTCATCTTGCAATTTGAGTTTTATCATCTTTTCTTCTTTATTTTCTTCTATACCCATTATGAGTAGCTAGATTTCTAACTAGGGTTGTGACCCAACCCTAGTGTGTGAACCTAATAGGTGTTTGATTTATGGCTTGTTTATGGTTGGGTATTTATTATCTAGCCTTGTTCTTGCCTTTAATTGTAGAATTAATGGTTGCAAACATTAGTTTATGCCTATTTGACTTGGTCTCTACTTGAGAAAGAAAGACTTAGTCTAGAAAAACTTGACTAACAAGAATTTGGGATATAATCAAGAGATTGATAGTCCCAATTAAAGGGTTGAACCTAGAGATAGTAAAACTCGACTTGAGCATTTTATCGACTGTTTCATTCAATCCCCATTTGGACTTGAGAAAGCCAAATTGGGAAAAATCACTCTCTCACCGAGGGGTATTGAGTGGGTATTTGAGTGTTGATTGCTATAATACACCCCGACCAACAAAACAAGCTTTAAAGTTTATAACCCGTTAGGCAAAGATATAGGTGAAGGTCATACCCCTAGGACTTTTTATATATTTAAAAACCATCCAAAAATAATATTCTCTAGTTTTATATCTTTAGAAATGTAATCCTTAACGTAATTTTAGAAATAAAAACAAAACCATATTTGTGGAAGTGCAACCAAGATACTTCATGTGCTTTATCCAAATATATACCACTAATCCCATCTCAGCTCCCTGTGAATTCGATCCCGACTCCTTGTTGGGTATTATTATTGGAATCGACTGTTTTTCAACCCTGAATAGAGGTGTGATTTGGACGAGATCAATTTTTGGCGCCATTACCGGGGAGCTAAAAACGTATTTAGCTATATATCTGGTTTTGTGTGTGAATTGTCTTCTTTTCCTTCCGTGTTACTAATCTTTTTGGTCAAACAGTTATAGGTGAAACAATGGCTCTCAACAACAATGATCCTCTCGGAAACATGCCTTTGGGGGAGGTGGACGTGGAAGATGACCAAGTTGAATAGGTTCCTCTTGAACCTCAAGAAAATAGACGAGGCCGACCGCCTCAAGACATTGTTCCCGTTCCATCCCCAAATCTATCAAGAGCGGCTCCATACCGGGTATTGCCGAATGAAGGGTATGCAAGTCCCATAGTCACGTCCCGCAATAGGGCGGGTAACTTTCAAATCACAAATGTTATGCTCACATTGCTAGAGCAACGGGGATTCTTCACCGAGGCTCCGAATCAAAATGCGTATAAATACTTGAAAGGTATTGTGGACACTTGTTGGGGGAGTAAACAGACAAATGTCTCCGAGGATGTTTTAAGTTTGAGACTATTTCCTTTCTCTCTATGGGGGAAAGCCTTGGATTGGTTAGAAAGGCTTCCAAACCATT